ACATAACTGTAACATTAAATAAAGATCAGGGATCAACAATACAATTAAAATGTGGTGTATTTATAAGAAAATGTTGTGGGAATATAATTACCCTAAAATTTATTATAAATGCACATGATGATAATAATAATAATCATATTAATAATGATAATTTATTGTATTAAAAAAATATAACAAAAATGACACATACCTTTAACCATTATGTTTGAAAAATGAAAGAAAAAAAGGGCAAAATTGACTTTGCACCAATTTGCACCAAAATGGTGCTAAGTATGGTGCTACATTGGAGGCATATGGTGTACAATGATATTTTGGGATCTCCATTGAAGATGCCCTTAAGACTACCAATTACAACAAGCAAGTTAAAATTTGTTGTCTCGACTTGACTGTCTTATTATTAAAATTTAGACACCTTACTATACTTTTATTAATTTTAGATTTTTATGAACAGTTTTTTTATTATTATTTAAATAATAAGTGGACATGGTTTATAATGTAAAGAAATAAAACAAGGATAGTCCGTGTTTAACAAAAAAATTGACTCCTCGCTTTCGACACATCAAACTTGTAGTGAGGTGCTAAAACTTATCCAAGTTAGCACGACATATCTAATTAAACTCATAAGTTTCGTATGGTTATTTGTCTGCTATACACCTCTATCTAGATAACGTGTAAATTCAGTTTCAGTCATTCTTAGTTTTGAAATAAAAAAATGTCAAATTAGATCGTAATTAGATTTGAATTTTCAAATGAGAACCAAATAATTTTCTGCAAAACGATTGAAAATTCTACCAATTCAAAATCATAGTTCTACTTTAGTTAGCAAAATTTGCTTCGGACCAAATTGAGTAAAGGCGACCAATTCTCGATACTGTGACAGAGACAGAATCAGGAGGGACAAAAAAAATTTCTACTGGGTTGATATGTAGAAAAAAAAAAGTCACCTCCACCCGCTCCTGACTGTGTATCTAGTTCACCTCGATTCAATTACTTTTACCTAATGGTGCACGCAAAATTTAGAATATCCACCCTAAATGTACATTTGAACTCCTTGTAGTATATTCGTCTAAGATTAATTTTACGGTCAATTGCAAATAATATTATTGAGAAGTTGCAATTATGAAATGAAATAGAATGACTTCAAGTAATTTAAAAAGATTCAATTAACTTTTTTATATTAAAAAATAGCATTACCGTGACATATTCTCTTATATAATACACTATGATCAATAAAAAAATGGAAGCAACTTATAATAAAAATTACAAAAATAAAGAACGGGTGGGGCCCAGTTCTAGCAAATGACATAATGGCCTGACACGTATATCTATAAAATATGATTATGTTAATTATCTTGAAAGCTTTGCTGCAAAGCAAAGCCAGAGGCACTCTTTGATTCAAAGCCTTTGTTTTTTGCATGCGTTGCTCACACTACTTTTTAATTATCATTTATCACCTTCCTTGTGATTTTGTATGTATGTTGTCAACCTAGTCGAGCATGCTTATAATAATAATTCATTTCTTTTTTATTTTTTACTTTCTAAAAAATTAAAATTTTGGAGTGAAATACCTAACTTTTAAGCACATGCAAACATGCTTTTGAACTAGTAGATATTCTAATTACCAACTACATAGATTTTTGAAAGAGGAATCTTCAAATGTAGCCAAATGGCACGGGTTCATTTTAAGTATGATCGCTTTTTTAAAAGAATAATGATATTCAACACCACTGATGTCAAGCATCGGTCTAGATGACAAACTGTATGGCATTAAATAATATGTTCGCTTAAATATAATATCGTAAGTTTCATTTAATTGAACCTATTAAGTGTTTGTTTAGTAAAGATTAAAATTCAATTAAAATTAAAAATATAGCCGTTATTGGGTCTCACTCGTCTAATAAAAGTCAACAATAACGGCTAGTTTTTCAATTTTAATCGAATTTTAATCCCTACCGAACACGCCCTAACTGTGACCACATAAAAATGCTCTAATACCATTGATATTAAGCCCCTGTTTGTTTCGAATGAAAAACAGAATTTGTACCGTTGCTTGTAATGGTGAGCCACAATATTTGACCATTTTGTGTCATAGTGGGCCCCACAATTTTGAAAAAAAAGGTCAAAAAAGCCCTTTCTTGTTGAAATAATTGAAAACAAACACGGGCTAAATATCATTATTCGTTTTAAAATTTTGCAAGAATGGTCTAATTTGGATGGAGAATGTCCATTGTACCATTTTGTATTTTGTAAAAATGACTGAAATCTTTGTGTGGTTCAGATTACACATGAAAAGTTGAAACACTAATTTCAATATACCTTTTCTTTTAATACAAAATAGATATATACAGTGGAGTCCTATCCTATGTCTAGAGGGTAAACACCAGAAAATAGACATTGTTTCTTAATACTAAAGTGGTGGAGGGCTTTGAATGAGTATTCATTTTGATTAGTTAATAACTTGTTAATCATGTTTAAGAGGAGATAATTATATTAGCTAAGGAGACTGTTGAATATCTCTCAGTAGTACTTTTGTATTGTTGATTATTTTCGCTGCGGGGTTATATTGAACGTAGTACAATTAAAGTGCCAAAATTATGTGCAATGTTGTTAAAAATCCCGTCCATGTCAAAGTTGAAACGTTTATATCGACAAGGATTTGTAGATAAAATGCATCGAAATTGAATCCTATGTGTTTTTATTTCAACAAAATTATTATGTTCTTGTCAATACACAATTATTGAATCATATTTTCCAGAGTAATCCTATTTAGTCCGGGTTACAATCTCAATTTAGGTGGCGTTAAATGATAGATGAAATTAAATAAATCATTTAATTTTAAAATTTATTTAGCCTATCATTTAAAGCCACATAGACTGGGATTACAACACCAGTGGGGCTACATAGCATTACTCTAGTTTCCAATACCAATCAAACGAGCTACCTATCTAATCTGCGGGGTTGGGAAGGAGGGGGACCAAAATATAGAATCCAAATTCAAAATGGACGATACTTCACAAGCTACAAACTTGCCGTGAAGCATCTCATGTTCGGTGGACCTATTTCGTGAGGAATTCTCAAAGTAAGCCCAGACGAATAGTACTAGAGATAGATTTCTTGGTCTGCTCTTGAATGAAAAGAATTTGATTGCACTTCATAACTTATTTGAAGGAAATGACCATCAGGGCAAGGTGCCAATCTAGTTACCTTTGTTGTGTATCAGCGCTCGTGTATCTAATTAATTTGGTGATTGCTAGAGATTTCTTAAAGATTTCCCACAATTTGAAATTAAATGATTAATCATAACAAAAATAATACCATTTATGCACTGAGGAGGATGAACACCGCTCTCTTTGAGATTCATTTCCTCTACTGAGCACGATTTTACAGACGTCGTTTTAGTTCTCTTAGCACAGGTGCTTGGTCGAGTACGTGCTGGTTGGGCTTCTTGAAGCATTTCTTAGCATCTCGACTGACCAAAATGATCTCAAGATTGAAGCATACTGGAGCTTGGTCAAGCACGTGCTGGTTGGGCTTCTTGAAGCATTTCTTAGCATCTCGACTGACCAAAATGATTTCAAGATTGCAATATTTTTGTCAATTCATTCCCTCGTTTCTATAATCAAACACTTACCTCATCAAATTCATCTATCATTTTGTATCCTTCCCCTCTCATTAATTCCAGCAATCTTCCTGAAATTTCAAAAACTTCATTAGTTTTTTGGTTTTTCATATCTCTAGCTATAAAACTTTGTGTTCCTCCAGTCGTTTCTATCCAACCAACTACAGCCAACAACTTTTTTCAACCCGGTCTTGTTCAATTTCTCTCTGACCGTCGCAGCCTCTTCGCATTTAGCAACATTTGAATACATATTTGCCATGATAATAAAATTACCCGTATTTTCAGGCTCCATCTCAAACAATTGAGCGCAGGCAAACTCTGCAAGTTCAATATCACCATATATTGAAGCCCCATTGAGCAGAGCACCCCAAACTCTGGCATTAGGTTCAATAGGCATTTTCTTAATTAATTCTACAGCTTCAGAGAGCTTCCCTGCCCGGCTCAGAACTCCAACCATGCAAGCATAATGCTCGATCAACGGGCGAATTCCATACTTTGGCAACATCGAATCAAATATTCCCTCAGCTTCCTCAACAAGTCCAGCATGAGCACAAGCTGACAATATGGCAGTAAATGTGACAGGGTCTGGCTGTACCCCATTGTTCAACATTTCATCAAATAGAGTAAGAGCGAAATTAGCATCTCCATGGGCTGCATATGCTGAAATAATAGCTGTCCAAACAATCAAACTCCTATGGTTTGCTCGATCAAAAACGCTTTGTGCTCCATCAACAAATCCAAGTTTGGCATATGTATCAATCAAGGCAGTTGCCACGTAGATATTCCCATCATAAGAATTCTTAATTGCATAAGCATGAATTTCTTTCCCTCCTTTTAAATGTGAGAGATGTGAAAATGTAGGAAGGATGGTTGAAAGGGTCACACTATTAGGCTTAAAACCAGAATCTTGCATTTGTTGAGCTAAATTTACAACATTCTCATAACGGTTGTTCTGAAATGCTCCAGATATCACAGCATTCCAAGTACTCAATCCTGGATTTCTCATTTCCGTGAAAAGCCTCATAGCTTCATCAACAAAGCCATGAACCATGTATCCCGATATAATCGTGCCATAAGTAATCTCGTCCTTCTCACTCATCTCTTCAAACAGCTCCCTAGCATAGTCCAAGCTACCACATTTCGCATACAACGCAATAAATGAGTTACAAAGAGAAAGATCTATTTCAATCCTATTCTTAACCACATATTTATGCACTTCCATCCCCAAAATAAGATCACTAGACTGTGCACACGCCTGCAAAATGCTAACTATGGTAATCCCATTAGGTCTCAAATCTTTCAAAAGCAGCATTTTCTTGTACAAATCCTTGCATTCCTTAAAAAACCCTCCTTGAGAGTACCCGGAAATCATCGAATTCCATGACACCAAGTCCCTCACGGGCATTTCATCAAACAAATTCCTCGCCGACAAAATATCATCGCACCTCGAATAATAAGTCACCAATCCATTACCCAGAAAAACATCAGAATCAAATCCATGTTTGATCACATAACAATGAACCATTCTAGCTAAAGGAGGTCCATCCAACACCACTTCCGACATGGCCTTGAGTACGCAACTCATAGTAAAACTATCAGGCTTCATATCCGCCAAATTCCGAGAATATGTTTGAGATAAAAACAAAGAGAATAATTTTAACGCTTCAGTATGGTAGTTATGTTGGGAGAACGCAATAAGAAGGGCGTTAAAGGAGAATGCATTTTTTCTGGGAATTTGGTCGAACACGCTGCGTGCGTAGGTGAGATGGTGAGTTGACGAGTAAAATGCAATGAGTTTTGAAGCGAGGAAGTTGTCAGAAGTGGTGGAGGAAAGAATAAGGCGGGCGTGGAGCTGTTTGGCCTGTCGGACCAGACGGCGTTCGGTGCACTGGCGGAGGAGGCGGCCGTAGATAGTGGAGTTAATGCGGTGGCCATCCGGATTGCGTGTTTTTTGAATGGCTTGGTGGGCAGAGGTTCGTAACGGCTTTGTGAGTTTCATCCAAAGGTAGGAAGCCAATTGAATTTGGGTGATTTATAGGGGACGGTTTTTACTCCTGGAGCATCCGACCCGCTTAAGAAGTTCTCATATTTCGATGCATTGCCCATCCAATTGTAGAAGACAACCCTCTCTCTCTGCTCTCTCTCTCTCTCTCTCTAAATCGGGTAGGAAACTAATATTCGAAAGAATAATTTGATTGTACACTTAAAAGTAACTACAGTTCAAATATTGTAGTAACAAAAACAATTCATTTGACCAATATCAAGTCTTGATTTAATAACAACATGACTTATTCTCCATTTGGCAAAATTTTAAAATTATTCATAAATAATCAAAATTCATTTTCAATAATACATTTTAATAAATTGATAAGTACTATTCATTTATTCACCAATTGTTTTTATATATTTATCAATTCAATTTTTATGTAGAGGCCTTCGATATGAGTTATGAGACTATTAGCTAAACAAAATGTCACGCAAGCATTTATTCTCTAAGGAGAGTAGCAACAAGAATGTCGACTTTTTTACCTCCATGTCTGAGGTGGAGGCCATCTACTATCGCCTCAATTACCTTTAATTTTGAGAATTTATGCTCTGTCAACAATAGTTTCTGAACTACCATAATTCCATGCAGACTCGTCACTTCTCGTATCCGAGGTGATCAAGAGGACCTAACTCTCAACCACGTTGGATTAGGGCTGTCCGTGGGTCGGTTCGGTTCGGTTCTGAAGATACCCGAACCGACCCAAAACTTTCGGGTATTTAATAAATGGACCCGTCGGGTCCAAATATAAATATGGAACCGTTCGGGTTCGGTTTGGGTCGGTTCGGTTCCGTTCGGTTCCGTACCATAATTAATTTTTTTAATATTTACAACAACACTATATAAATACAACTAATGACATTTCATTCGTAACTTTTACAAATTAACGTAGCCCAATTCAAAAACATATAAATAACTAGCCGTCCAATAAGATTAATTCAATGCATACAAATATCAAAAAGTAGATATTAATATTACAGCAACACTACATAAAGTATATTCATTTGCTTCAAATTAAAATGGGTTAATGGGTTTTAAAAATGATTTGGGCTTTAAAATTAAAATTATGAAATAATCTGATTTATTTAATTAATTTGCTAATTTGTTTAGAAAAAAATAAAATAATTTAATTAATTCAATATAAAAAATAAAAAAATTATTTAGTTTCGGTTCTTATTCGGTTCTTCGGTTCTTGGTCTAGACCCGAGACCCGACCCAAACCCGTCGGTTCTCGATTCGGGTACCCGTTCGGGTATTTAATTTATGAAGAACCGCTCGGTTCGGTTCGGTCCGGTTCGGTTCGGGACTTTTGGACACCCCTACGTTGGATGGCATCTAGAGTCTGAAGTGGGTAGGGTCCAAAGCCTATACTAACTGTAATCTGATACATTGAGCCACAGGCCCACATGCAATTTGATACGTGACATCTTTGCAAGGGTGGTTGGGAGTCAAATGCTATATTTTCCTTCTAGCACGGCGTGCGGAAGGTCACTGTCCGATGATGGCTAGAATGTGATGTTTTGGCATTTGACTTATGAACTGGGATGAAACCACGTGTCAAGCATTCAAGTGACTTCAGATTCATTTCTTCGATAAAAACTCACACTTTGGAGTTGCAATGAAAAAACTTAGAGATGAAATCAAGAAGCAAATGAACCTGGTAGGTCACAACAAAACTGCCCACAATTGTAGATTCCCGAAATAAATTTCCCTAAACAAGTATGGGTAAAATGAGTCACACACAATAAAAAGGTAAGAATGACGAGTTCTTTCGCCCCTTAAAACCACAATAGCCCTTCCTGTATTGTGGCTTTTCTTATCTATATGATGAGCCATTGTATTTGATGATGAATCAAATGACAGCATGCTTGATGTCATATCATCAATTTGTCCCAGCTAAAAAATATTTCTATTAGACAGAACTAGACAGCCAATAAACATCTTATCACAAGTCTCTCTTCCCGGCCCTGAGTAATTCATCATACTAACCATGTCTGTAATTACTCCTAGTTCATAACGTTCTCATGTTCTTGAATATAATTTCTGCCAGCAAACAGTAAAGGAATGTAGAGATATGGCCTGTTTATGTTAGACAGAACTAGATGCACAATATACAGTTTTTGTCTCGTTCTTCCTTAATCGTGCCCGAACCCCCTGACTAAACATGTCAGAACATTTTCATGTTTTTTGCAAGTAAAAATCTGTATGCAAACAATAAGGGATTAACAACTTCCTGACCTCTTTCAGGTAGAGAAAACACTTGCTCTTGGGGCAACTCTTCAACAGGCATTACATCAGCAGGTGAAAAGGGCACTGATTATTGCACTCTCCAGTATAATGCAAAGACAGTAGGACTCGTATCGTTTCCTGGTGCAATGACTGGCCTAATAACAATTGGAGCTTCTCCATTGGAGGCCATTCAGCTGCAGATTGTAGTAACGAACATGCTCTTTGGGGCTTCAACTGTTAGCAGCTTCATGTCAACCTATCTATGTTGGCTTGCATCCTTCACCAAAGCTTACCGGTTACAATTGAAGGTGTTCTCTTCAGATTAAGAATCGCCCTCAATTATTTGTAGACTAAGTGTGTGTTTGGTAGGCAGAACTCGACAAAATAATGAATAAATTTTAAATTCTTTTTATTCTTCAATTTTTTATGTATTGATAGGGATCCCTATTAATACCTAGATTATGGGAATGATTGTCCCTACCTGCCTAGAGTGAGGATCACATATTTAAGAATGGCAAAGGCCAAATACTTAAAAAAGGCTCGTTTTCCGAGTATATTACTATTATTTACAACATGAATTCAAAACAGGCACGAGCTGGACAAACAAAGACAGGAACAATACCACTGACATTACTCCAAACAGTCACGGTTGTGGCTGGCAATTTCAATTCTGCTTTAAGCTATGGTGGTATAAGTTAAGATCTATGGCATATTCATATTCGGGAATTAAAGTCACGAACAAACAAAGCTAGATATATTAAAATAAGATATTGCTCAGTGTTATCCAATCATCTTTACCAAACACGCCATAAAAGGAAAAAACAAGCTTGCTTTTAGGGCCAGAAGGTTAGAAGTTGCTGAAAAAAAATCCCTGAGCAGGCAATCAAGTAACAAACCCATATAATTATATATTATCGAAGTCTTACTGTCTTTCTTGTTCAACAACTTAGCAACTATTTATTTTTGAATCATATCCACAAGAAATTGCACCGCAGCCCCTCGAGAGGGGTAACCAACATAAAGTCATTTAAGGACATTGTGCTTCTAGAAAAGAGCAATGTGTGTATCAAACCTTAGATTTTGTACAGCAAAGAATTAAAACCAGATAAAAAGAAGAAACCTTTTTCTTTTCTTCTTTTGGAGAGGTGGGGTGGTTGGTAAGTTAAGAAATAGAACATCAGAGCATCTCCAAGAGGCTCTTTATTCTTTAAACACGAAATATTCTCTATTTTAAAGAGTCAACATTTAAAATCATGTTCCAAGAGACTCTTTAAATTAACATTTTAATTTAGAGTGTAGGTTTGGCTCTCCAAAACTCACTCTCTATAATTAAATGCTTTCAAAGTGTTTCAATTTTCAATGTAAAAGTGGGTTTGGAGTGCCAAACTCGCTCTCTATAATTAAATGCATTCAAAATATTTCAATTTTAAATGTAAGAAAACAATAAAATAATATAAAGTAAAGTTAGTTAAAATAAAAGATAAACAAAAATAATAAATATTTTTTGGAAGTAGTAAAATTAAGTGTTAAATATAAAGAGCTTGTTGGAGTATTTCAAAATTTTAACTCTCTAAATTTATAGACGCTCTCCAAATATTAGAACATACTATTTAAAAATAGAGTCTCTTGGAAATGCTCACACTCTCTATATAAGCACTATTAGCTCTCTGGCATAGTTAAAAGGGGAGTCTGGGGAGAAAAAAGAAGGCAATCCAGAAAACAATTGAGAAAGAGTTTTCAAGCAACACAGGGCCATGGATTGCTCTGTGACCAAAGGCCCTTACCAGTTAGACTTAGGGCTGACAGGTATGCAAGGATTTTTTTTAACCGAATCCAGACAAAATCGTGTAAAAAAAAAGATTTTAAAAGCATAGATCAGTAAAACAGTTTTCTTCACTGTTGACAATAAAATAGGAATTAATTTGTCTCCTCTCTATTCGCTGCTATATGAGGCGCTTTAAATTTTCTTCCTTACTAGACAAAAACTAGGTACAAGTCTCACCGCCACATGTTGGGCATTTGATTGTAAAATGAATCCAGTCTATATAAGCAAGAGGGATAGTTTGATAATTAAATTAATCCTGTTTCTAAAGCTTAAAACTTTTAAAATGAACCGTTCAATATTCATCAAACAAATATCAACTACACATTACAAAACATGTTTTAAGAATAGCGAGAAAGAAGCCTTTCCCACATCTCATTAATACTCATGTATCAGAACAATGACGTCAAATGCTTTGGCCAAAGCTACAAACATCTATAAAATTGAGGAAAATAACTGCATACAAGGAACAATCACAGGCATAAGAAAGTGACAAATGCAACGATTCTGAACAATCGTAATGATCTTCAAAGACAAGTAACAAGAGAATGTATATTAATAAATGAAGCCTTGCAAAAGACATAGAACTTCCATTATCCAAAATTTAAAGTAGCTATTAGATGTAAAAACCAATGTTAATGAAAACAAAATAAAAGGGGAAAAAAGGTCAAAGAAAGTATGCAGATAGGGATTTTTTGTAGCAAACCTACTTATAACTTCGCTAAACAACTCACAATGAGTAAATGTGAGGATAGCGTATAATTGCAAAAAGGAGATCCAATTAGAATAAACTAACAGCATTTAGATCCCAATTAGAGCTCAAATTCTTCCTCCCGAAGAGCTATCTCTGCTGCCTGTTCCTCCTCATCAAGGGCAAAATATTCGTTCTTCTCCATCGGCCTAAACATGTAGAATATTACAGCATAAAATGCAAGACTTGCAATCTCCTCAGCTGCATTCGACACCCATTGGTACTTGTAAGCAGTAATGGTCCTGAGCGCAAACACCACAATCCTCGTGAAGTACAAGTACCCAATAACCACAATATAAAACTGCCTAAAAAGGGTCAATTTAGACAAGTTCCTTGCAGCCTTCCCATCAGTCTTTGACGTCTCCCTCAGAGATCTGATAGACCACACAGTCGGGAAAAGAATCGCACAGCAACAGATAATATCCACCAACAGGAAAAGCTGATTCCATGTCACCCAATCCTTAATAAAGGGCCCAGTTTCCCCAATCACAACGGAAGCCACATTTGCCAACACCTGCAACGGGATCACGATCATCAACACTTTCTTCTCCCTCTCCTGCAAGAACGGCTTCAAGAACGACCACCCAGTACCGATCAAAATGATCACCGTAAACAACAATATCACCCTAATAAACTGGAAAATGTAAAACAAAATATCCCATCCATGAGGGGTGCCTGTAACCTTCACATAATGCTTATCCTCAGCAGCACAAAGCAAATTAAATGCCTTAATAATTACCAAAAGCCCCATCAGGGCATGTATCCTATGCACAGACTTCCTATTTTTAAAACAAAAAGAAACCCAGAACCAAAAGAAAACAAAATAAAGAATTGAAAAGAATGAATACAGGGTGGGCAGCTGGGTAAGTCCAGCAGATAAGTAATCCTTGACGCTACCACGATCATCAAGATTATAAAGCTCGGTCGTGACATCCATTGAAACAGTGGATTCAGGGGCACAATTGGCAAAGAAAAGGGAGTATTCATTAGGAGAGGAAATCGGGTACGAATGTGAGGAGGAGGAGCGGGGAGGAGGGGATAGGTCCCTGAAAGTAAATAACAAGTCGACGTATTTCGAATCGAGGACGCAAAAAGAAGGGTTCTGCTGGAGCTCATAGAGCACTTGGATGAGGGATTCCTCTGTTAGGAGGAAAAAACCGAGGCGGGATGGATCTGGCGAGGCGACGGAGGAGATTACGGCCACGGAAGAAACGGAAATGTTAGCGTGGCCGGTGTGCGTGAAGCCGAATCGCTCAAAAAGGATCATGGCCCGGGAATCGGAGGTGATCTTGAGGGACTTGATCTCGGCGGCCGCGGGGCGGAGGAGGAGGTGGATAAGGAGGAATGGGAGGAGGAAGGGTATTTTCGTCATACTGATAACTGGTTGCGCGAGGAGGTAAAGGGTGGGCCGGTGGAGGAAGACGTTGGGAGATCGGGGTCAAAAAGAAGGAGGTGTTGGTTGGGCAAATTTTACGATTTGTGGAAATTACCGAAATTGACCTTTATTGGGAAATGGGTGAATCTGAAATTCAATATTTTAAATTGATAAATGCTATTCATCTTCACTGAATTGAATCACATTCTATGCCCCTGTTTGGTGCATATTTTTGGAAAAAGAATACATTTTTACTGTTGATGTAATAGGGAATATATGGTTGAAAAAGAAGGAAAAGTTATTGATGTGATGAAAAATTTTATTTTATTGAAGAATATGTGACTAATAATGAGTAGAAGAATAAGAATGAAAAAAATAATGTGATTCAAACAGGGTCAACATGATATTAAATGATAGATTCACTTAAATACAAAGTCACATGACTCATTTAATTGAATATATCATTTAATATCATGTAATTGTCACATAAATTGTGACTCAACCTCAGTGGAGATAAATAACATTATTCTTTTAAATTGTGTCATGCTACACTAATATAACATGTACATTTGAGGGAGCATAAACATTGGCAGATTCAAAATTGTAAGTTAGCTGGTCTGTCGATGACCACTGACTAAAACGTAAAAATCAAATATATATGAAAATAATCTGTGTTATTTAACAACTCATGTGTTCAACTAGACGTAGTTGTGGGACTAGATGCAACACTAGAAGAACTAGGTGGGGACTTTCATTTTGGTTGAAAAAATCGTTCCATAATCTAGTGGAATGATGGTAGGAAAACAAAGATTCTAGTTAGATTCATCTATGATTTCTGAAGAAATTTGCACGTAGACTAGTGATTTAAAAGGTTACATAGCAAACCCCTGTTTGGCCCCCTTTTTTGGGGGTTGAAAATTTTTAGAATAGAATTGATGGGAGAATGTGTGGTTGAAAAATTTTAGATTTGTGTGTAATATTATTTTATTTGATGAATGTGTGGTTGAAATGAAGAGAGAAAAAAATTAATGTAATGGCACGAGAAAAAATGGGGCTCAAACGGGGGCGATATGTGTCACTAAAAATTTTTAGATTCGTGTGTAATATTATTTTATTTGATAAATGTGTGATTGAAATGAAGAAAGATGAAATATTAATGTAATGAAATTTAATTTAATGAGGTTGAAACGGGGGCAAAAATGTATTGAAGAATAGAAACTAAAAGCCATAAATCAATGTAATTTAGTTAGCAAACCAACATTCCATGTAGGGTGAAACTGAAGCTTGCGGTATCCCTGAACACCAAATTTCTCACAATATACTTGAAAAACATAATTGCTCCTAATTGATTTGAATCTATTCTCAATATTTTATTACAAATCACAAAACCATGACTTGTAGCAATCATTGCCATAATCAAAAGTTGAAGCAATAAAAAGGATCTTACAATAACATTGAATCCATAACATTTATAAAAGAAGTAACAATTGAGTCGTCGGATAGTTCAAGTTCCCCAAAATGTCCCAACATCATCAACGCTACAACCCGCAACATGTACTGAGAAAGTATCACCACTAACATTGGAAATGTTATTTTATTCCCCGATTCAGCTCTCTTGCAAGTGCCCCCATGTACTGAGTGTAGAGATAGGGTTTGCACGATCGGTTTCGTCTAGAATTGCAATTGAAATTTGGGGTGTGATTTCTGATTTAGTATAAACTGATCCCATATCAGATACTTAGATTGGGCCTTTTTTAAATAAAAACAAGAGACTCAATTCCAAAAAAGCCCACAGCTAAAAAAAAAGTTCAATCAAACTGCTTTCATCTTCAACCTCCAGACCCCATATCCTCAGCGCATGTGTGAGTGTGATTGCGTCTTCAAGTTTTCTACAGTGACTCCAACAAATCCAACATGAAGTGATCGCGCCCCCTCACTGGATGCTGAATCCTCCACTGAGCGTAAATCCGTGTATACACCATGAGGTGTACAAGCATCATTTTCCTTTTAAATTAGGGTGATATTTTTTTTATAAAGCTAGAGCCTAGATGTACATTATAGCTTGACAAGGAGTTTGACACTCTTTCTAAGTGAAAAAAATCTTGTAAGTGATGTGATGAATGTATTTAAAATTAAGATTATGTTACATGTACATCATATTTTACCTAATCTTTTACACCCCACTCACACCAAAAGGTGGGGACCACGAGCCGACTTTTTTAATACACGTGGGGGCCACTTTCTTGTGAGGGGGGTACAAAATTCGGTACCCCCCTTTTCGGTACAAGGGGATAAACCCTTCAAATTAATGGTTTAAATGGCTACCACATAAAAGAATGTCAAACTTAATGTAACTCATAATATACTACATGTAGCATGGTTATTTTTTGAAGTGTAAAGAATGTTTTTGTAATAGTTAATAATTTGAGGAAGATTCATGTAATTTTCTCTTATTTTTTCTTTGAGCAAATTACACAAACTTCTAAAGACACTTGCATCTTAGGCCTTGTTTGAACCCCATTATTTGGTCAAAAATTCATTTTTAAATAGTGATTAATGGAGAATATGTGGTTAAAAAAAAAGTTTTGAATTTGTGTATAATATTATTTTATTGAAAAATGTGCGGTTGAAAAGAAGAGAGAAAAAATGTATTTTAAAAATAATGGAAATCAAACAAGAGTTGAAGGATATTAGCGAAATCTCCGACTTAGATAAAAATAAAGGATTATTGTATTTACTCCACATTTTTGTTAAATATACCATATTTCAATTTCTAAGAACGTCCCTAATATTTGCTTTTTTGCCCCAATTTTTCCATCACGTTCTTATTTTCAACCTTATATTAATTTACATATTTTAACTCATGATGCATTGGGTCGAATAAACGAACTTATTTGCCTCTTTATTTTTAAATAAATAACAAATACAAAATTACAAAATCATTTAATGTACTTTAAAAGAATACTAACAAAATCATCATAAAAAAAGATGTATTGATTAATTAAAGGTCAAAGGTAAAAATGCGTCAAAAAAATTTGAGAACACAAGTATAAAAATGAGCAAAATTGATACGTTAACATAAAAAGAAAATGAGCAGGAGGATTTCAAAATTAATTTGTTCAGACGAGCCCCTTCTTGCAGGACATATCAAGAGATAAATCACATATCGAATAAAGATATAATATAGACCAACATATAAGAGTTTGAGCTACTCATTTTAATAAAATTGACATTTTAAAATGAAACTTTGAGTTTTAATGTAATTTAAATTCGTACAAACATTATGAGTATAAAAAAGTACCCATCTTATCAAAAAGAGGAAAAACGTGTGTTTGTCTCCCATTATTGAGAGAAAAATAGAGTAATGAATAGTATTTTTTGAAAAATATGTGATTGAAATTTAAAGTAACTTTATTGATTTGTGTGTAGAATATTTGATTGAGTGAATGTGTGGTGGAAAATCTTACCGTAACGAACAGTTTTTTGGAATAATGGTAGACAAACAGTGACTAAGAAAAAAAATGAAACGATGAATGCATTTGTATAGAATAACACATTCGGGGTCGTTTGACAAAAAAATTGAAAAGTCAAAAATTATTTTTAATCATATTTAGATAACTTTTTGAAAGTATTTTATATGGCTAGAATAGCTTTTAGAGCTTGTTTGGGAATGATTAAAATTCAATTAAAATTGAAAATATAATCGTTATTGGGTCCCACTCGTCTAATAAAAGTCAACTCCAACAGCTATATTTTCAATTTTAATATGATTTTAATCCTTCCCAAACAAGCTCTTAAAGAAGGTAGGTTTCTCAAAAAATTCATATATAATAAGTAGATTCAGAAATCCTTACAGGCGGATATAGTCAGAAACCACAAGGATGGTTGAGTAATTGCCTTTTTTATTTTATTTTATTTTAAGGGGAAACCAATAAAAAGAAAAATGTAATTTGTCTTTGGAGGAGATAACTAGAAGGTGCACGTGCACCTTCTCGAATTACTTCTTAGCTACCCAATAACACACGAAACTCGACAACAGTACCTAACTTACCAGTTCTGTCCTTTCCAGCATTCAACTTTTACAAGCAAAAAACAGCGGTTTTCTTGAAATTAAATCCGTAATACGAGGTCAATCAACAACAAATTTTTCTGTTCAAAGCATTACCTATTTATTGCTCGGCAAATTGGGGATTGGATTTATGACTGATTTCTCTGTTATCCAAATTACGTTCAATTCTTCGCAAGTGCAAATTTCAAAGCCTTTGAATTCTCTCTCTCTCTCTCTTTTTTTTAAAATAATAACATATCTGTATAAACACAGCACCGTACCCAGAAACACATACTATTAATCTTCTTCGGGGAACTTATATCTGATTTTAAGCTGTTAGATTAGATATATGTCAATTCGATCGTTGAGCACTAAGACTTTCACAGAATTTCCGAAATTCCTTGATTTTGTAAGTTCGCACTATTTGATTTTTATTTTATCTTGCATTTACAAACATATTTGATTCTTATTTGTTTTTTTTTTTCATTGCGTTTTCGTATTTTATTATTTTGTTGATAAAAAGTTAAGTATTTAGGTTTTTAGTTCACTCGCAATGATCTTTGAAGTTGTCTTTCAGAAAAAAGTTTGAGCGATCATGTAATTATTTTGAATGATTTGGTGCATACAGATATCATCTATTCAAGAAGTGAATTAACTGAGAATTGTGCTTCCTTGGTATCATTTGGTGGAATGAATTTCAGTTGATGGTTTAAGATTCAGGGATGGAATCCCGTTGATTGGATATAGAAATATCATCTTTGTAGATCAGTTGATATATATTTTGGATTGTAATTCTTTGTGCATAAATTAAAATTTAAATGAATGTGGTGGGTAAAGTTAGCAGTTTTATCACACAAGGAATGTACTCTGTCGCCACACCATTTCATCCATTTGGTGGGGCAGTTGACATAATAGTTGTCCAGCAGCAAGATGGAACCTTCCGGAGCACGCCTTGGTATGTACGATTTGGTAAATTTCAGGGCGTTCTTAAAGGGGCGGAGAAAGTTGTCCGGATAGAAGTTAACGGAGTCGATGCCAATTTTCACATGTGTCTCGATAATTCTGGTGAAGCATATTTTGTTAGGGAAGTTATTTCTGAGAAGGACAACAAGGCAAACAATGTTTTGAAGGATTCTGATAATCGTGAAGGCATCAATATCGATAATAATTCAGAAGATAATAGTTCTCTTATACAAGAGACTAATGATTTTGATAATGGTGAGGTAGAGGTTCGAGATGAACGCATTACTTTTGGCATGGACCGATTGGAGATGAATGAGTCTGACAGTGAGCGGGCATTCTACGATTTTCATGATGATCAATCTTCTCTAGAGGGTTCAATTGAGTTATCGGAATATGATTCCCGAAGATACGATAGTTTAGATAGTGTGGAGCATATGATAGAATCACACACTTCGAACTCAGAAGTAGTTCTGGTGAGTGTGGATGGGCACATACTGACCGCGCCCATCTCATCCTTGGAGAGGAATGCTGAGAACTTGCAACTAAGCACACCTCAGTTTCACCTTGGTCCAGGTGAAGGGACTGAAGAGTACAATACGAGTGAAGTTACATGGACAGCTGATTATTTGAGTGATTTGGACACCTCTACACGTAAAGTTACTTCTGAAAATGCGCGTGAGGCGGAAAATTGTAGTCAAGCTTCTGAACACAGAATGGATACATGTGAAGGAGGTAAAGAGAATCTCTCTCGTGTTCTAGACAGCCAGAATATAGCTAACCAGGGAAGATACTTTTACATGGGAAGTAGTTCAGAGACCACATCTAATAGTTTTAAGAGGGCTGAGGTTTTCAAAAGTTGTTTGGAGCTCCAAGAATTGGCAGTGCAGTCTATGAATGCCATTCAACAAGACACGGGTTCCTCAGTGCAGATTCATGAGTTTGCTGAAGATCTAAATGAGAAGTCCCCTCAAAGTCCTTCAACAAATGATGAAACTGAAGAGGGAAATCATGGAAAATCAACAAATCAAAATGGATTACCTCCCTCAGATTCTGAATATCCAAGCACTGTTTCTTTGACAGATTTGCAAGTTGAAGTTGAAACCCATGAAAAAAGTACACTTGATACAGATCAGAGTGGTACTGATAGCAAGCCCGTACCATTTGTTAGCACTGATCAGAAGCCAGAGAATCTGATGTATGATAATTTAGTAGCCGAAGGAATGCAGAGTGACCAGCGAGCACCTGCTTCCGTAGATGAATGCAGTAAAAACGAACATCTTGACCCTCATTCTAGAGATTCAAGTGGCGACATGAAAGCAGACTTCGACACAGGTATGGCATGCCATCTTGATATTATAATAAATTTTGAATCACTTGTTGTCATTTGATTTTAGTACTCTTTTGCAGTTTCTCTAATCATATTCTATATGTTTTGGCAGGAATAGAGTTATCTCTTTGTGGGAACTTGCTTCATGCTGGCATGGGTTTGGGTGCAGCAGCAGAAGCCTTCGAAAGAAGCTGCATATCAGCTGAGGAATTTAGAGTTTCCGCGTCATCAATTGTTAAAAATGAAAACTTAATAGTTAGAATGCAAGGGAAGTACTTAACATGGGATAAAGCTGCTCCTATCATTCTTGGATTAGCAACTTATGGTTTGAATTTATCTGTTGAGCCAGACAACACAATTCCAGTGGAACAAGAAACAACAGAAGCTAAGGAAATTGAATCTGAATTAACTTCGACTCCTCCTGGACGCAGATGGAGGCTTTGGCCAATTCCCTTTAGGAGGGTTAAGACAAGTGAACATACCGGTGGTAACTCATCAAATGAGGAGGTCTTTGTGGATTCTGAATCTATCTCTGAGAGCCAACATGTTGAACCAACTCCAACACCTCGTGCTGCCAGCGAGTCTCCTCGGAAGCAAGTTATAAGAACAAATGTTCCCACTACCGATCAGATAGCTTCTTTAAATCTCAAAGAGGGACAGAATATGGTGAATTTCATCTTCTCCACACGGGTTCTTGGAACTCAGAAGGTCTATACTTTGTTTCCTGGTCTATGTTTGTTCTATAAAATAGATAATTGGTTGGACTAGATAACCACTACTGTTGTTACTAATCTACAATTTTCTGAAACAGGTTGAAGCTCATATATACTTGTGGAAGTGGAATACACGAATTGTAATTTCTGACGTAGATGGGACAATTACCAAGTAAGGTTAATTTGCCTTATATGAATTAGGAAATGACAGAATTGATAATGTGGAAGTCTACAATCTAGAAAATATGTTTGAATGGAAGCTATTAGCTAATTACAATTAAGCTTACCGACATCCTTTCTCTTCGAAAAATATGGGATGAGAAAAGACTGAAAAGTCTGATACTTCCGTTTATGATGCAAGCAAAGCAGTCTCACCTATTTTGGTCGGAAGGCTTGCTGTAGATTTTGACCTTGATATTTCATTGTTGCTAGATATAATAATAATTTTGTTCATGTTACTGTGCAAATCAGTAAAAGTTTGGGTTAATATATCCTGTTTATCAAACAATATTGGTGAGACTACCACAACGTCACCGGAAATAGATGTTACTGTTTTGGTCCAAGTTGGTATCTCAAAAATATATGTTGTTTGCTAAGTACCACATCTACGAGGAATTATAAACAAGTCGATTGAGAATAGTGAAGTTTTCACATTGACAATTGTTCATCATAGAGATTGGAGGGGTGGAAGCAATGGACCATAAATTGATCCTCATGGCAAAATTTAGTAGCCAAATTTACGAGCGTACACAATTTAAAACAAATTTACCGATTCGCAATTTTCTATGGGTTATTGATCTCTGGTAACTCAAGATGGTCCATCAGACCCCCTTAGGGTTGGTTTTTTGTAAGCTTAAACGGATCGAATAACCCATTAACATAAGATGTGATTTATTTTTGGTTGTATTATTCAAGTAAATTAGCTATGGTGTAGCAAAGATAGGTTTCCAATATCCCGTGTAGTTTGTGCTTCATATGTGCTTGTTTTCCAGATCTGATGTTCTCGGTCAGTTTATGCCTCTGGTTGGGAAGGACTGGACACATTCTGGAATAGCTCGTCTTTTTTCTGCAATTAAGGTAATTTCATCAGATGTATTATTTTTCTGCTTGGAGTCATCACATCCTTTGTGTTATTTTTCTTGGTCTTGTTTATACCAAAAATAGAGGTTGTAAATCATATAGTTGCCTTTCCTAGATGTACCAAATTTTAAAAAACAAGCACAAAATTTGATATGGACTGAATTCTGAAAAAAAAGGATGTACACTGGGGGGTTGATGTGGACTGAATTCCGAAAACAAAGATGCAAAAAATCATGAAGTTTGGTATGGACTGAAGTAAACTAGAGGGTTGTAATATTTGAACAAATAAATGCAAAAAGGATGTACCCAATTGGTTGTCTATAGAAAAAAAATAAGCAGGAACTTGTATGTAATAATTTAAAAATAGTTAGGAAATTTGGTATGGACTGAGTTCCGAAAATCTCGTGGCTTCAATAAGCAATTAGATGGATTTTTTTCGGGTACAGAGCAATCTATGGGCTTATTTATGGCCATGGGACACTTTATAGACTTGGTAATGGGTCTAATTATTAAGAGAAAATAAGATTAACTCAGGAATTAAAGACACAAAGACAACCCAATGTAATGAGGAATGAAAAAAAAAAAAGTATTGAATGCATGGATAACAAGGCTAATTCAAAGTCTCCTGGGGGCCAATCCTTTGATAAGTATGCCACAAGCACTAATTCAACAGCCTAAAAAGAGAGTTGAACTTGCCAGAGCAAAAATTGGTTTATAATTACAAAACCTTAGTGATCTTACTCTAAAGTTGGTTTCTAATAAAATAAAAATTACAAAACCTTATTCTCAATGTACAATGTTTACGTCCTTGTGACTATGGCATTAATTTATGCCATTGCTGTTAACTACTATAAAGAGTATTTTCTTGTGTAAACATTGTAAAAGATTGACTGCAAGATCAAATTGAAGAGCAGTGGATGACTGACTGACTGTTAATTGTGTATATTGAGAACAATATATTTGACGATATTAATAATTTAGTCAACATTTTTAAATTATTAAAATTCGTAATGAACCGTTGTAACGTATTTAAAGAAAATTATAAATTTTTGAAATTTTTTGTTATTACCTTGTTTCAAAATTTTTATCTTTAACAGAGTTTTGCCCCCATTGTATTAGAATCCTGGCTTGAGTCTGCATGCACAAGGGATATAATTGCAAAGTTTTCGATAGAATTATTTCAATAAGTGGAAATTGTTTAATAGTAGCTAAAACTTATTGAAGAAAATGTCTCAATGCATGCTCATAGCAATTAACTCATAAAAGAATCGGATTGATTTATGCTGATTAATGATGGACACTATGTTTCTATTTACTTTCAAAATGACGAAAAGATGCCAGGTTTTTTCCATTTTACGTCTTTCCGATTTTATTAAGTGTCAATGCCTCGTAGCTTTCCCTATAAAAGACATTGGTACTTAATCTGTCTCTTTCCTTTATTTAGTCAACAGAGTGGAAGTCAAGCATAAAAAATTCCATGCTTATGCACAGCCATTTTAGCAAATCTCAAGAACTTCTGTGATCTGTACATAAGTTGGGACCACATCGTCTTTCTCAAGTCGGTCTAAATTCATCCGAGATCAATGAATCTAATTAATCGATTCATGCATTTTCTACAAGCAGGAATTGCTGTGACTTTGTCTGTTCATCGACTTACTTGATCTTCATTACTCGAGTCTCTAAAGCTTATTTTTTTCTCATGTATTTATATGTAGATATGATAATAGAATTGTGATGGCATTGCAGTTACTGATGCGATTGGGATGTTTTGATTTTTATGGTTATTCGAAGTTTTAAATTGTATTTGTTGTATATGTTGAACGCTTTCTTAATGTAGGAGAATGGGTATCAGCTGTTATTTCTTAGTGCACGAGCTATTGTTCAAGCGTACTTGACTAAGAGTTTTCTATTCAATCTGAAGCAGGTATACTGTACTATGACCCATAGTGTTATTAGCTTTTTATTGTACAAATGGTACTTCTTGAACATTCTAATGATCAAAATGTGTTCGATTAATGTTTGTGCTCCTAGGAGATTTTGTCTTGGTTACCTTTGTACATATATAATAGCTTTGACTTTCGCTTCCCCTTCTTTGAACTCAATTTTTTTTTTAATTGAGAAATATAAACAACCAAAAATTATGTGGCTCATCAAGAAATCCTGCAATTGTTTGAGCCACCTTTTTTTCTTTTGTCTTGTCAATGGTCCAACTTTTCCATGTTAATTAGCGAACTCAAGAATTTACTAGCACTACAACCAAATTCCATCTGGTGAAAAATATTTATAATGTTTGCAGGACGGAAAAAGTTTACCAAATGGACCTGTTGTGATTTCTCCGGATGGCCTATTTCCCTCATTGTACCGAGAAGGTAAGGTTTTTCCCTGAATGATTACTAGACTTTCTAATTTCTATTAACACCTAAATGTTTACAAATGCACAGGATGACAAAAATAGCGAAATTCTTTTATAGTTTGGAAAATTTTAATTCTGCAACTAATAAGAAGAATTTACTGTTGTTTGTCATGGATGGCAGTCATAAGAAGAGCTCCTCACGAGTTCAAGATTGCCTGTTTAGAGGTCAGATTTACTGTGGCATGCAAGTTTTGTAGGTGAAACGTTTAATTATTCTTTTGAATATCTTGATTTTTTAAGCTCCCTTTTGCAGGATATCAAAGCACTTTTTCCTGCTGACTATAATCCGTTCTATGCGGGTTTCGGAAACAGAGACACTGATGAACTCAGTTACCGGAGAATAGGGATCCCAAAAGGCAAAATCTTTATCATTAATCCCAAGGTAGTCGTCATTCTTTATTGCCCGTCCAGATAGTTGGATAGTACCTGACAATATCAATAAAGAGAAAAAAATTAAAATCTTGTTCATTGCACCATCCAGTACGGCATAACAAACATTTATATACATTTCCCTGCATGACCACGATTCTGCAAGTTTATTTTTGTCATTTTGTTCTGTCTATGAAATTCATTTATGCTCACAGGGAGAGGTAGCCATTAATCACCGTATTGACGTGAAGTCATACACTTCATTGCATACTCTGGTACACGACATGTTCCCACCAACATCATCACTGGTTGAGCAGGTACTAATGTGACATAAACACTGCCAATGAAAAAAAAATTTGGACTCTTAGATATTTCATTTTTTTCAGGGTTTTCTGCATCTAATAACATCTTGTTTGCGCGTTATCTGTGCAGGAAGATTATAACTCATGGAATTACTGGAAAATGCCCTTGCTGGATATTGAAAACCAATAGAAGTTTTCTTTACTGGTGAACAATGTTGGATAGATATATTCTCTACCAGGATTCTGGTAATTATTCCAATTTTGCTGTAAAACTAGACTCTAGCATTCTCATTGAAATGTAAACAACTGATTTTTGTAATGAACCAACAACGTTGCACGTAAATCTGGCTCATAAGCTCCTCATGTATGAATTATTCTTTTCGGTTTTCCCTCGTTTAAATCTGCATGTTTTCACTTGTTTTCTTTGTACTTTTCTTCAGGGGATGCATCTGTCTAGGATGATGCACGATTTTGCAAGAATGAATGTCAAACGCTTAAAAAGTGACTAGGCTTCGTATGGGACGAGTCAAGAGGTCAAGAGAATGAAAAAGGGTATATCTTTTACGTGAAGTTCGGGGTGAGCATATTGCCCTTTTGAAGCTGACTTTACCATTTTACTTTGACTCGATTCTATTCATGTTGAGATTCATATAAAGATCTAAAACAATTAAATTTTAGAGACAATTACATTACATCTAATTTTGGGTCTATACTTCTCTTGACCGTGTTATCGAGATAGTATCGTTGATATGAATCAATCTCTTTAATTTAATCAAAACATGTCTCGATTACTTTAGTCACCACTTTGTATAATTTATTCTACATTGGCATCACCCTCACCTTGTCCACGTTTACTCTCATTTCTTGTGCGTTTTAATATGAATGCATTCATTTTACCATCTTCACTTCTACCATGTATGAATCAAAGTAGCCAAATAGCTTGATATTTGAAAAACATAGGATTAGCATTTTAAACCTTTCATATTTCAGTCCCTTATTATTCAATTTTAGTTTCATCTTTAGAATGAAATCAAAGAGTTAAAAACAAGACTTTCTCTTTGCTTTTTGAAGTTTTACACAGATGGAAAAAGGCCCTTTCTTGAAATGATCTTTTCTTAGTAGGCATCACATTCACGTGTCAGTTTCACTTTTTATCAATTTTAAGCCAAAGTTTTGGGCCACATCTGAAAAGAGATCAGACCCTCCACTTTAAACTTTTTAGTTTGTCAGATAAGTTCATGTGACCATTCTAATGCACAGTAAGTTTTTGTCACTTAAAATTCTCTCTCATACGCATTTCAAGAAAATCTTGTTGAATAAAAACTTCTTTTACTGCATTCCCAAAATTAGCATAGCACAATTTAGCGGTAAAAAAAATTGGTTATATAGAATGTTTGATTAGAAGTAGAGATGAATCCGATGAATCGAATAGAGATATAGAGTTAACTTTTGATCATTTTCTCAAATAATAAGTTCGCTTGATCGCTTAATTGAAAAAAATAAGTCTTTCTACTTAGAAATATCAAAATGCATCGAATTGTGGTGGCATGTCAAAAGCACCGCTCCTAGACTGTCTGTGATGGGCTGCGCAATGAACTACTAGCTCTATCAGGTCTACAATTGAGTCGTGCTAAGTTCAATGGTAGCGGTGTCCAGTTTTCATAGACTAGTCTACACGGACTCTATTAAAAAAAGAACAGGAACTTTGTCAAAGTAAAAGCTTCGGGCTAATCATGCCAAAAGAAAAGGGTCGGGTGGGTCCACCTCAAAATCAAGCCGTTTTAGATTGATACTTCCATTCTTACCTTAGGATTCGAAAGTCTTGAACCTGAGTTTCTCGATGATAAGCCTTAGTTTGTTATGTATTATTCATTTATACGATGTGAGCTAATTGATCGTTTGGTATGGGATAGGGGTGGTGGGGATGTCTAATTGTGCCCAACAATTTAAAGGAAGTAGGAAAAGATTATTACACGTGTGGAAACAAAGGCCTCTATCCTTGGGTGCATAACTTTCCATACTACAATGTGTGGACAGTAGCAAAATGTTGTACCCTAGGGTTGTGTCAAACAATAAAAAGGTCAAAAAAATATGACCCCCCATGTTTTGACCAAGTCAATGAGTGATCCATAAGTGCTTATTTCTTGCCATTTAATTATAAGTTGGGGGCACAAAAAGGCAGGTTTTCCAGATTGGGCTGATTTCGATTATTTTATTTTATTTTTTATTTTTTTTTCAGACAATTGTGGGTGTTGCAGGACATGCCAGGATCATCCATTCTTACCTCATTATGAAGCTCTTGCTTTTGGACTTGAGTGGAAAACTCTATTTCTATATAATATATATAAATCCATTCGAAAAAATAATACTGCGTACCAAATATGCGACAGTAAATATAATAATTAATTAATCAAATATACAACATAGATACGAACAAAAAATACAAGAAAAAATCACAAAAAAACCAAACCAAATATGCAACAATACTTACTCATAGATTCTCATCTAACAAACAATATAAATGTCCGAAAAAAAACAACATAAATATGAACAAAAATAAACACATAAAGACGTATTCTCTACCTTCTCACCGATAAAAAATAAACACGTTCAAAAAGAAAATTTTAAAAAATAATAATAAATATAAAAAAACTAAAAATAAAGCATAAATCAGATACACAAATTATAAATTTTATATAATAATATTAATCAACTTGATAGTCCATGCCATTTCTAGTTAATTTCTATAGTATTATTACAATTGTTTTTAATTGTATGTGAAAACGCCTTTGTTAATTGTACATTAATAATTAGTAATAATTGTATATAGTGAAAAATAATTGACTTAATTTTTTGAAAACAATAATATTAGTTAATGATAATTTTGTTTAGTTGAAATAAATTGAACGTTAAGGGTATTGTTGATCATAAACATAAAAATGTAACGACAAAATGAAAAATCGAATGTTTTTCACCTATCCACACTTTTTATATGCTGTAGATGTAGTCGTGTAGATATATAAGTGTCCACCCGGTAAACTAGTTCTACATGGTGTCTTAAAGGAGTGATTCGTAAGAAAGTCTACTGCTTTTCTATCGATCTTTTTCAATGTCCACTAAATTTGGGCGGGTCATTGCAATTTTTTTCTTTGTTTTTCTTTATTTTTTAAAAAAAATATAGGCCACATAGATCACACTTGCACGGACCTTTCCGTGCGTGCCCAATGCAACCAACAACATTATCATGCTTTTCAAATGTACAATTGCTCGAGTCTGTTTTGACACCTCTTCGAGTTTATCTAACATACAAATCAGTAAAGGAGACTTTTCCATTGCATATAAGACTTATGCAAGATAATGTATAATTGGAACCATCTCTCTTTTGAAGGGTTCTCTGCCTCTGCATTTTCCTCCTCTGCACACCTCCCCACAACCAAGCATTTTCAAAACACACACAAATTCACAAGCACTAGGATTTACCATCTGGTGTTACGCAAAAATGGCCACAAATCTTGAATGCCCAGATGAAGATTACATAGACATGGAATTATGTTCTTCATCATCCTTAAACTTCGTAAATTCTTCCCAAAAATGCAGAGATTTTGAGTTCCAAATGTCTTCCATTTGTAGGGAAAAAGACACTACAACTTCTCCAGCCGATGAACTGTTTTACAAAGGCAAACTCCTTCCTCTACACCTCCCTCCACGGCTGCAAATGGTGCAAACTCTCCTCTCCACCACCTCCGGCGACGGCGCCGCCATCAAAGAGGGTTCCTTCCCATTTATTAGTTCTTGTTCTACAGCACCTTGTACCAACACAAACACCCCATTGGACTCGTGCAACATTACTCCATCAGAATCATGCAGGGTGAGCTGTGAACTGAACCCTGATGACTATTTCTTTGAATGGTCCACTGAATTAAGCAGTTTCATAAAAAATAATTACAATCATCATCCAAAAAAAAGTTGGACCTCCAAAAAGCTCAAGTTTATTAAGCATTCTATATTGGGTTCAAAGCTCAAGGCCTCAAGAGCGTATTTGAAATCTTTATTCAGTAAATCTGCTCACTCAGAAGCTGAAATCTTATCCAAAAATGAGAACTTTTCAAATAAGTACTTTAAAGTAGCCAAGAAAAATCCAACAATAGGTTCTATAATCAACATTGAGAAAGAAGGGATTGAGGATAATGTTCATAGAAGATCATTTTCCAGTGCAATCAAACGACATTCTCCAACGAAGTGTTTGTCTTCTTATTCTTCGAACTCATCATCTTCTTCTTCATCTTTTTCATATAATTTGAATAATGGTCATGAGTTGAATTTTCTCAAGAGGAGCAGTAGTGCACCTGAGAATGAGAGTTCTATTGAGGCAGCCATTGCTCATTGCAAGAAATCTCGACAGCTTCCGGATTCAAGAAATGCATCAAGTGATTCTGCATTTTGTACATTTTCTGATTCCAAGATTGCAGATGGTGAGGATCGAGAAAAATCTAGTTTTGTGTTAGCAGGTCCTTCGTTGTTTGGGTATAAATGAGAAGTACGATGCACAAGGTGAAGACGAACCTCACAATGTAACTTGATTTTACAGTGAGCTCATGGACTTTTTCGTTGTGTATTCGAGCATGTGTAGGTGAAGGAATCGTCACGTTGATGAGTTAGGTACTGGTATTTTCATTTTCATCATTTGAATTTTGTTAATTCTGATGCATGAAAAATGTTTGCAAGAAGGAAAGTTTCAAGAAGGCCAAAGTATTTTGCTATGGTACTGTATGGACATGTCCTGTTTGTTTGATTATGAATGAAATTCTTGCTTTAAGACTAACCAAAAACAATACCTGGAAAAGTAAAGGGAATAAAAAATCATACTACATGTACAACATTGGTTGACAACATCTTATTTGACATCATCATATCCATTCATTTTAAAAAACTATTTCTTACATCACATGTTAGGAATTTGACAACACATGGTTGTCAATCATTGTTGTCAACCAATGTTGTACACTTAGCTTTATTCATAGAAGTAACACTTTTCAGAGATAAAAAGAAGTCAAGAAATTTAAGAAAGCGGGCTTAACGCACTTCTATGATGGCTGCCTTTTGGGCAAAAGTTACTTTATACTTTCTACTTGAATGAATAATGCAATTTATGGGTGTTGTGTGCACATCAGCTATTATTTCAAGAAATAGTGTGCACTAGTATTTGAACTAATATGCTGGGATTGATGTAGAAATAGATGCATGCACGTCTTTCTTTATCTTTCCAGTTTCGAGTGTCTTCTTAAATATTTATAGTGGGCCCCATAGGCACGAGATGCTGTGGAAATTCATAGTTATTAATCAGGAAGAAGCGATTTTGATCAAATTACCAGCACTCTCCTTTGAACTGGTAAGATGAGAATCATTGTACACAGACATATACATACTAACACTGTATTTTCTTGAGAACCATCGGAGATGTTAAAATCACAGAACGTAAGAGTTTCTTATGCTCATCAGGAATCATGGAATCTGTTATGACACAGACCATGATGAATTGATTTTGAAATCTGAAATACTTCCAGGTTTATTTACAATCTAACATGGCCAAATAACCAGCCCTCTCCTATAAACAGAAAAAAGATGAGAATCATACTACGCAGACATCTCGTCCGTTTCTCCTCGTAGAGGTATTTTCTAGAGAATCCCAGAAACACTAAAATCACAGAGCATACAGTTTCTTATACTCATCATCAGGAATCTCGGAATCTGTCATCACTGACACGGACCATGATTGTGATCGACTATTTCTTGCTGACTTTCGAAGGCTCCTCAAGTTGGAAGCTTCAATTCTGTGCATGATCACCCAGTAACACAATGTACCCAGTGTCGTAGCCATTATCAAAGTTCCTATAATGGTCACTCCAATGGCTAACCACTTCTCATCTTTTCCCACAATGATGTAGCACAGAGCAAGAAACGCGGCCGATATAAACGCGCAAGCCAGCCACATTAGCTTGTTAATAACTGCCATCATTTGCTTCTTTGCTTTCCTCTCTACAACTACTACAGAAGTTTGCACTACAACTACTGCTAATGATATAAAGAGTGCAAGAGAGTCAAATATGAAGAAGATTATAAATTCCATGTTTGGAGCAATATTGGCTTCTCCTAGGGAAAATCCAGGAGGAACATTTCCAGGGTCATCTGCATACTGGCCTGGAAGTGTAAAAATGGCAGCAAATGCAACTGTAGCAATTAGAACCGCAACAACTGTAGTGGAGGTAATTGCATTGTTAAGCCCTTCTGCATGAATTTTATTGAGCCTTTTGGCTATACCTTGCATTCGTCTTCGAGTTTGTCGTGTGTGTTCGATCTGGTCGTGAACTTCATGTTTTATGTCGCTTACTGTTTGTTTTAGTTCTCTGGCTGCAGTTGGTGCTGGTTGTGTTTTTATGGATTTTGCACTCTGAACTCCATATTCTTGAAGAATTGATGCAATCTCTGACTGTCCAGTTTTCTCAGCAGTGTCTATGGCCGTCTCACCAGACTTGTTGACAGCTTCTTTATTCGTCCCTTCGTGTTTTACTAGGGTACGAACAATCTGAAACGGTTAAAACCAGAATCAATTCGTGAGAAAGTTACTTTCTCCTGGAATAGTTTCCTTCTGCTCGAATATTAAATTACTTGCTAAAATATTTCTAAAGAGGAAATTATATACCTGTGTTCGACCCTTTCTCGTTGCTATATGCAATGCAGTATTGCCCTTTCCATCGACCATTGTAACTAAAGCAGGATCTGATGCAACAAGTGCTTCAATTACTTCATTACTATGCCCCTTGGCAGCCATATGAAGAGCAGTCTGACCCTTCTTATCATTCCATGTAGCAATGCCTTGTTCTTTGCTTAAAATGGCCTTCACCACCTCAAAATGCCCATTTCTTGCCGAAGAATGCAAAGCTGTTTTCCCATTATTTCGCGCTATGGTGGCGAGACTGCTGTTTTTCTCTAAGAGGAAATCGACCACCTGAACGTGGCCTTGTGCTGCTGCAGTGTGTAATGCTGTTGTATTTGATTGATCCACCGTCGCCAACAGTTGTGGGATGACCTCCATGAGGATCTTCAGTACTCCTGCATTTGACATCGATTTCATTAGAATTGTCGATCAATCTCTAAGTTCATCACGTAGAAATTAACAGAATAGTATGACAGTCAAAAAAATTATTTAAACATAGTCCTCCTTATCAGTATTTTCAAGAATCACCAGCTCTCCCTGAATAACATGTTTCGGAATCATTACAGATTTAACAAAGACCTGCCTCAAATCGGAGAGGTCGGTGTTGTGGAATAAACCTAATCCTGAGCCTGAAAGCAATATGAACCAAAAAGAAGCGCGCACACAAATTCATAGTGGCAGTTTCACTAAAATCGATAAAAAGAGGTTTTACAATGAAGATCTCCAAGTTCCTGTATCTCTTTAAATTTCACCCTATTATCTTTATACTGGAGAAATATACACAATCTCTGAATGCCTAACACGCAGATAAGTGAACAGTATAATTAGACTTCAGATTCCAATACGGAAGAGAATACTATAGAAACATACCCAGTTCTTGCTGCTTGGCAGCTATGTGAAATGCATCAAAACCATTTTTAGCCTTGATTCCAGCAGATCCAAGATCATAGAACTTTATCATCTCCTCCACGAGATCAGTTCGACCACTTTCTGCGGCAACATAAAGCGCGGTTTCGCCCGACTGATTCTGCTTAGACAACAATTCCTCCAACTCTTCATCACCACAATTTGTAATGATCTCTACAATTCCTTGTAAATTCCCAGATCTTACTGCTGAATGTAGTGCAGTATCATCTCTTTTACCTGTTAACTGCTTCTTTATACGCTTCCTTTCTGGAACTTCCATCAGATTACTTTTTCAAAAGAATCCCGGATCAAATTTTACTTATGACAGAATAATTGATTAACGATTTATGTAAAATTCTTCCACTGCAATATAATGGATTCATTTGGGACTTTCAGTAAGTTGTGAGTCAGCATTTAGCAATCTTGATTTTCGCCACGATCTGAAAATTCCAACCTACAAAACAAAAAGTCAAACTCTCCAATCCATTGCATAGAGGAAAATACTTAATCCTTTGAATATGATTATAATTGTAGACATCAAAATCGCCAAAAGCGGCCAATTTGTGCAAGAATCTTCAAATTCTACTTATTCCAGAGTGTTCGTGGTGAAAACAATTTCCTTAAGAAGAAAACAGAAGGCAACACAAAAATTAACAGAAGATCATTTACCTTTGCTTCAAAGAAAAGAGCTTCCCTTTAGGTAAAAACTATGAACATTCATGCACTAAATTGAGAGATGAAAAGCTGTTTTGTTGAAGCTGCTAAATTTGTTGCGGACAGAAAATAATCAACAGTCATTTATAAATGACATGACAAAGAAACGTGAAACACAGTGTCGAACATGGATAGGCCACAAAAGCTAAGATATGGCATATGGGTTAATAATCACTTATTTCTGGCCACAAAAGTTAAGACATGGGTTAATAATCACTTATTTTTGGATTTCGAGGCTTACAGATAAGTCTTGCTTTAGTAAATCAACCGTAGAATAAGCAAAAGAATTATTCTACAAGTACAAGAAATTTCTACAAATTGTTGACAGGAATTTGAAATGTTTTAATCCTATCCATCATCGTGTTGTTTTCGCTCTCCTAATTTTAAATGTAAACCCTCCATTTCAAATTCCTGTATGAATTCTGTATAATTTTCCTGTATCTATAGCTTAATTCTGAGCAAGAATTATTCTACAAGTACATGAAACTTTTACATATTGTTGACAGGAATTTGAAATGTTTTAATCATATCCATCACTGTGTTGTTTTCCCTTTCCCAATTTTAAATGTAAACCCTCCATTTCAAATTCCTGTATGAATTCTGTATAATTTTCCAGTACCTATAGCTTAATTCTGAGCAAGAATTATTTTACAAGTACAGGAAATTTCTAAATATTGTTGACAAGAATTTGAAATGTTTTAATCATATCCATCACTGTGTTATTTTCCCTCTTCCAATTTTAAATGTAAACCCTCCATTTCAAATTTCTGTATGAATTCTGTATAATTTTCCTGTACCTATAGCTTAATTCTGAGCAAGAATTATTCTACAAGTACATGAAATTTCTAAATATTGTTGACAAGAATTTGAAATGTTTTAATCATATCCATCACTGTGTTGTTTTCTCTCTCCCAATTTTAAATGTAAGCCCTCCATTTCAAATTTCTGTATGAATTCTGTATAATTTTTCTGTACGTATAACTTAATTCTGAGCAAAAACACTGTCAGACTCATACACCATTTAGGATATAATCTGTTGATTTTTTATTTTTTTCATGCGTGAGAATGAAAACGAGCCACTAACTCCGATAATGTGATAAATCACTTCATTTATAACTCCGATAAAATGTAATTTATAATATGTTCTTCACGCGCAAACTAAATTCATAGCAATCGAGACAAGGAGCAGACACAGTGGGCATGGGACCACGTGACCCCCAACTTTGGGGGCTTTTTTTTGTTTTTTTGTTTTCCTTCTTTTATGTTTTTGTCTCAATTTCGAAATCATTATGAGAAATCAAACAAAATCGAAATATTACATTCTTAATATCATTTCGAAATACTCATTACCTAGTTTTTTACGTTATTAATAGCGCACGAAATGACCAACCGCAGCAAATGTTACGGTTTGTCAAAATGAGACATTCAAACTAGTATTTCGAGAATTTCGATAACATGCTAACTTTAAAAAAATTTCCAATGATCATACACTAGTCGAATCCACAAATCGCATATGCAAGCTCATTTCGAGAACTATATCATAGGCACATCGAATGGTCCAAACAGATATTGAAAATAGATAAAGATACGTCAAACGTGTGTCTTAAAAAGAGGGGTCAACTCGTCTTCTTTTTAATAAATTTCTATTATTATTATTTTTGCAATACAAATTTCTCAATATAATTCACATCATTTTATTAGGAAATTTTACATGTGATGTGAATGTAAATTTTCGAATTTAAAATTATATGGGGTATGATTTTTTTTTTTAAATTAAATTTTCGAAGGTAAAATTTTTCACAATTTTTTTTACAAGTTTGATTGTAGTCCGAGGTCAAAATGTTTGCATATGCAAACAATTGGAGAATTGTTAAAAATAAGATAATGTAAGGTGGTATCAGTGAAAAAGATGAGAAAAATGTTTGGTGACTTGAAAAGCTAAGCAACTGTAAGTCAAGCCCGTCGTCTTTGGAGGGCCCTCGTGGGGTTCATGCATTATTAATAGGGTAAGTTGGGGATGAGATCCTCAAACTTTCATCTGGTGTAATTATAGGTATTAAATTTTAAAAATGAAGTCTTGAGTCTCTAATCTATTTAAATTGATGAATTTGGGTCCATCGGTGATTGAAATCATCAATAAAGGTGTTAAAATTGTAAAAGACTTTCACGTGATTCATAACTAGATGATAGTAGTCAAACCACTTAACGTTTTTTCTTCGATACAATTTTAAAGTCGCATGTTCAAATTGATGATTTTCACCACGTGGGAACTCAATTTTGAAATTTCAAATATGTTGAGGTTTCGAAACCTCATTTTTTAAGGTTGGAGGTCCATAATCACATAGGAAAAATTGTAGTGGACATCACCAAATTATATGTATTCTTGCAGATTGGTCTCGACTTTTATTTCGTAGTATTCAAATTTTGAGACTTTTAACTTTATAGCATATTGTGTCTAATTGACAGTTTTCACTTTTAGACGTCAAAAGGCACGTGAATCCCTGATGCTCACTTTTTCCTTCGGTTTAGAATTTTGTTAGCTTATTTGCCTACCATCTATGATCTATGCAACTAAAATTAATCTTTTAGGTAAATTCTGAGACACTGCAAACATAAAACATTGAAAACTTAATGGATGTAAAGAAATAAAAATTAGACTCAAGTACATGAAATTAATAATAAATATGGGTGCTGTATTGCAATTTTTCCTTTGCCAGTTTTTGACACTAACTTTGTTGCGTAGTAGGGATGTATGATGAGTCATGACGAAGATAGTTATTGTTTATTTTCAAGGGCTAAATCCAAAAATTTGTACGACAAATGAATGGGACTGCTTCCTACTCCAAGTCTCCAACCGGCCAATTCTATTCCATTAATTGGATATCAATTTGTGGCAGATATTTTTACAAGCAAAAAATGATTTTTTTTTTTTTTTTTTAACAATATAAGATAAATATTTTCGAAATGGTAAGTTCATAAAATGTATGGTTAAAAATAATTTTAAAAAATTGTACCAGACAAACACATAACTGAAAAATTGGCCAGTTATTTAGCCCATGTTTGTCATCCATTTTATCAAACATTGTTTGTTACAGTAAACAATTTCCACCACATATTCACTCAATAAAATATTCTACACACAAATCAATAAAATTACTTTATTTTTCAACTACACATTCTCCAAAAAATACTATTTAGAACTCTATTTCTTCTCCCAAAATGGAAGATAAACAAACACTTAATTTTGTATGTTTCAAATTTTAAGTTTAGAATATTAGGACTGGGATTCCTAACCTTTTATCTGGTGTGGACATGTCTTCAAGTAATTATGTGTTCTTGACCCTAAGTCTTTGAAGAAAATTTGACTTTGCAGGCATTAAGCTAATAGTTTGTCATGATCTAGGGACTTAAAATTCAAAGATTCATATTCACAAAAATATATTTTGAATTAAAATCATCGTAAGTATATGATTCGTTAATAAATAATAAAATGGATTTTGAGTCCAAGTATCGTCCCACAGAAATTGATTTAATTCAATTTTAATTATCGCGATTTTAATCGAAACAAGAATAATATAGTTTATTTATTTGTGACCAAATTATGAATAAAATAATCTACTTATGCAATGATTTGTAACTTAACTAACTTAAATGAAAATTATTCTAATTGCAGATTGATGTGTTTAATAAATAATGAACGTACTAGGGTCCTGAATTCCCGTACAATAATCAGTTGAACCTTGATTTTACACGTTGACAACTACCGTGCACAATAATTGTGGAGAAAAAAAAATTATATAAATCATTCGATATTATAAAACGTGTTTTTAATGTCAAATATATAAAATTAAAAACAAAAAACTCATATTATATGATTCATCGTTCTTTTTGCACAAAGAAATATAGTCTAACATATTGTGAGGAATAAAGCAAAAGATAAAAATGTTGTGCACCACCCACCTCCCCCGAAAATTCTTGAATTCAATGTTGAACTTCTTGGATTTGATTTTGATGTGTTCTTTGCCTTCTTTTGCAATTAATTCTCCACACCCCCATTATTTTTTTAAGAGTTGGTATATATATCCCTCTAAGGACTCTCGAAAGATCTCTAAAAATCGTGCATTTCATGACTCTGACAGAAGTTTCCTTATTGATATTGAATTTTGAAGGAAACAAAATTTTTTTCCCGACAAGGCCTTGGCGGACGCTCAATAGAAAATGGAGTGGTCGCTAAGGCATAGAAAATGGCTCATGTTATTGAAGTTTAGGGTTGGGCGGGAAACTTAGGGTCGGGCCTGGGTGGCTGCCTAGTTATAAAAATTTTGCGCCTTTCAGCCCATTTCTTCATTCTTTCTTCCATCTTGGTCATCCACATTAAATTACTTCAATTTTAGTACAAATAGATATTAGTCCCCCAAACTTCCATCCAATGGCCAATTGATCATTCTTTCATTTCCAATTGCTTAGAAACGAATTCAAAATTGAAATAAGATAAAATTAGTCTAAGTTAAGTAAAATTCAATAATAAAACAATACAAAAACTTAATAATACGACCTCGAATAAGT